TATATATATATATATATATAATGTAACCACTGCGTGTTGTGAATTTTGTTGCTTATTCAGCTTCGAGCGCCTAAAACTGTGAGGCAATCAAAAATCAATGATTTATCACACTTATCGATTGTTTTTACCTCGAAAACTTTTTGTAAATCATCTTTTTGAACAAACAAATCAAAGTGTTGAACATACATAATGCACCCATCCAAATCAGACTTTTTTCAAGCTTTTAGCACTGAGTGCCTTTAAGGTTTGATTTAGTCATGTTTTAACTGGTGAAAGCTGATGACCACACCGATTTTTGAGAGAAATATGCTTGGATAACGGCTGCATCTGGCCTGATGTTTATGTTCATTGATAATAAGTTGTATTTTCTTAACTAACTTTGTTCTTCCATTAATGATCCTTTATCAATACACAGCAACACTTTAAGCATCAATTCGACATCACACTTTTTAAATATTGTGAAGTGAATAAGTTTTACTGTTGAAACGGTGGATGGATTTCAGATGCGCTAAACGATGTGATTGAGATTATCATTGCTATATTTTTGTGCATAGAATAAATAAATGTCAGTAGTAAATTCATGTCGGGGATCTAACGCTAGCGTGAATCAATCTCTGGGGTGGGGGCATTCGGTTGGTCGGTCGGGTAGAGAGGGATAGACAGAGAGAGAAAAACATTAAGGGGGATGTATATTTGTGGTGGTATGCGTTGCGTTGTACCAACTATCGCCCCTCACGACTCCTCTCTCGTTGTTATTCTCACCATTCAGAAACTATTTCTTCCATAACCCTAATTTTAACGACGATTTCGTTCGTTTCAATTAGAACATCTTTATCTTATCACAGCAAACAGTATACATTGTTTCCTGTCGATAAATCCCTCAAAATTTGAATGTCTGTTTGCATATTTGCAAATCAACTACATTTCATAAACAGTCTTCCAAATTGATAATCTCTAGCGAAAGTTGTGTTGAAAAATTATTTGTTTCAACGAAGGAATATGTTCGTAACTGGCGATTGGTGTAGCGTTATGCGATTGTGTTAATAAACTGATCAGTTATTGGTGTATTGCTATTCTTGATTACTGCAGTTTTTGTTATTTGTTTCTTCGTGAAGTGGACTTGAATTGTTTTGAAACTAGTTTTATGAAAATGGCGTGGCTATATGAATGCTACGATTATTGTGAAGAATTTTAGGCGGCGGATATTGCTGGTTTTGAATAATAATAAGAATAAGAAAATAAGTACTTATTAATAATTATCTTCAACAACAATTAATAACTTACTTAAACCGGACGTCATTCGTTGAAATGGTTTCATCTAGTGACGAAACAACACCTCAATGCTCACCATCTGATTATTCTGATGAAGCACATAAAAACAACGTGATGAATGACAACGTGATCACGATCGACAGCGATAATTTTAAGGTATTTCGTCTTCCATTTCCAAAAATCGCATTCATCTTCTTCAACTGTTATCGTTCGGTGCATGAAGTATTGTCTTAATTAGTAGTCGTAAGACGTTAATTCAGGTATGAACACCAAAAAATACTCTTTCTTTCGATATATCTGTTTATACGTTTAATCTCATTTGCTTAGTGAATCAATTATTTTTACATCGTGAAGTCTCACTCTGCCTTCAGCTATAAATAATATCTTAATTAAGAACTTACTGTTGAAATTAGTTGATATTGGTGATAAGAGAGAGGCATAAATCCGTAATTGCTGATTGAATATCGTTTTGGTGTGATAAAAAATCCGGGAGCTATAATTTTATTGAGTTTTTGGAGTGGTAGAGAAATCGAGGGAATTATCTGAAGAAGCAGGGTGTATTTGAACAATTGTGAATATTGTTTAAGGCGTTGAAAGAGTCAAAGGCAGATGAAACAAAGAAAGTTTGTGGTGATAAAGTGATAGAAGCGGTTAAGAATGGATTGCATAATGAACGATATTCAGCAGAACATGCTGATATGCAAATGGCACATGAATGTGCAAATGGTATCGAGATGACTGCAGCCTCATCTTGCTCAACCTCTTCGTCAAGCCACACGAACGGATATGATACTGCTACTGATGTTCGTACATCTGTTGCTAATGCAGGTTGACACTACATTGTACTTTTTGCTTGTTGATTTCCCAGAAAACAGATCTGTTGAGTGAGAGATGCTGGTGTCACATCTCCTAAAATGTGAGTTTTTCAAATCGTTTGATAGACTTATAAGGTAGCAGTAATTTTGAATTCGGTAAGAGAGCACTCACGATAGACGGGACGAGTTAGTTCACTGAAGATATATGCGTATGATTCAATCAACATACAGGTATGTGAGTAAATTGATCGATCTGCTTCGTGATGATAATGATGATATTTATAGAATGTAGTAACGAAAGGCGACACGATACTGAAGACGCTAAATCAGATGGTGTTGTTGAAACGAAGAGTGATACGGCTCTCTCTGAAGCGAATAGCAATTGTCGGATGGAAGCGAATGCAAGCAACGCGGATGATCATCATATCGATTGCATAGGTCTGATTTATTGATGTTTATTCGAGTTGTTTAGGTGCCATACACATTCCATACTAACTTGTTTTATTTGCTGATGTCCATCTTCTTTCCCTAGTTTCATATTTTCTATTTTCAAACATTCAAATGGATCATTTCCAATGAATATTAACGAGCCATATTTTGATGGTAGCAACAAAGTTTATATTAATAAGTTTAAAATTTGTTGATCCTTAGAGCGATGATATTATCATATTTTCCAGTACTGTTGCTGGTGCTAAATTGAAATTAGTTTCGAATGTTGTTTTGAAGCGGTGATGTTTCAGAATTGGATGATGATAGTAACAGTTGTATTGAAGCGCCTCCTGCGAAGAAGATGAAATGCGACCAACAAAATGGAAGTAATCAAGATGAACAAGAATCACCAATTCCAGATGATCCACAGACTGAAGTATTATATCTTCAATTTGTTATTGCATAAACCAAACGGACTGCTCTCATTAACTGATTTTTTGACAGCCCTTTGCTAGGAACTAAGAATTCGAACATTATCTCATTGCAAGAACACGCTGAATTGAACTGTTGTGAAACAATGAAATGCGCAATACTTCAAATGAGATAATTCACAATTCCTATTGTATAAATTCCCTCCCATTTCATCATTCCGTCGAACACTCATCACTTTCCTCCATTCTACAAAGAAAAGAGTTGAATCACTCTAACACTCAATTTTTGCAAAAACCCGTAATTTTTCACCGAAACTAAGCTTAAGAAGCCTCTTAGACTTAATCGAACGGGTGTTGGTAATGACTCAGTCAAACGGTGGTCTTGATTGTATCCTTTTATCATTTGTATGGTCAGCAGTCTCTTCAGTGAAGAAAAATTTCGAGAATCTATATTCCATATTTATCGAGTTTCATTTCAAAAGCATAAGGAAATCAAATCCTCTTAATTTCATTATGAAGAGAATCTAATTTTGTTATTTGTTCAGTCGTCGCATAAACGACCCGAATTGACGAGCAGTGAAGCCTTATTGAATAAATTAGAAGCTTACGTGAAAGAAGCGATTGAAAGTGAGATTAATGTGGAGAGGTTTGTTTCTTACGTTTGGTCTTTTTCAGTTGTGAATTTTTTACTGATCCTGTCTGCTATATGTTTCATGAATCATTTTTTGGAATTTTTAGCGAAATTATTCGTAACAATTAAGATTGACGTTGTATTCAATGCATTATCATTAGTGTATTGTCCAGGGAGAGGGTGTTCTGGTGCCAAGAAATCGATGAATTTTGGGGTGGATTTTCCGTCACATATTTTTTCCTCCCTCCATCCTTTTCCCTATTGTTTTCTCACGTCCTTCTCCCCTTTCTACTCTTTCCTCTTCTCTTTGACTTTTCTTTTTTCTATTTCCTTGTATGCTCCAGAAGGGTGCTGATTATCATAATTCGATGTCATCTTAAAATAATTCATTTTCAGAAAGGTTTTGGATGCTTTATTAGGTGCAATCAATATTCAAGTACAACGAGAACCACTGTCGGTTCGAAAACTAATTCTTGAAAAGCAATTAGTACTGCCTAACACAATCAGTTTTCCGCCATCACAGGTTCGTGTCTTTTGTTGTTGTCGTTCATCTTTCGTCGGTCAATTTGAAGTGAGCAGTACAAGGGCTGTACTGTTCATTGTGATGAAATTTCATAAATTTAAGGCTGTCGACCTCCTGATTGAGCATGATCCAGATGCGCCTTTATCGAAGGTGATCACAAGGCTGTTTGGTGAGGAGAGGCCTAAGTTAACAGAAGCTGAAAAACGCGATCGGCATCTTCTTAAGATGAGTCATCCGGCACCTCATATGACCAAACTTCTTATGGATATAGGACAGGATCTTGTTCAAGAGTCGACTTATTCAGATATTGTTCATGCCAAAAATTTACCTGAAACACCAAAGAATATGGAAACTTATAAACAGGTTAGTTACCGTTTTGAATATCATGTGCATTGAAAATCTCATACTGATTTCATTTGACGTTTTCATTTATTGGTGAAATATTTGTCATTGCCTGATTGTTGATGTTTCTCATTTGTTTCGTTTTTATGATGAAATAGTTATGACTGCTTTGGTAACGTTTATGACGTATCTCCACAAAAATGTTAATTTGAACAAATTGAAAGAATTAGTAGAAGGAGATATGAGAAAGAAACTTCATTCGTTCAGGTGGCTCAGCAGTTGAAACCTGTATGGGAAGCGTTACGGAAGAAGAATGAACCGTATAAATTAAAACAATACACCTGTCAGTTATGCTGTTTTAAAACTGAATCGCGTATTGTTTTGGCTCTTCATAGGCAAACACCTCATTTTGATGGACGCAAACATCAGTGTGCGCTCTGTCCGGAATATTTCACGAATGAAAATATGATAGTACAGCATTATGCGTAAGTTATTAGTGTTTTTATTACGTATCTTGTTGTAATTGTGTTATTCTCTGTTAGAAATTTCGATCGTGTTGAATAGGAAACCGATTTCAAAACGGTTAAATTCTGAGAGCAACTTGTTTAGCGTTAGACGTTTAATTCGCCCTTAACTGATTGATTCACTTCATTCAACGATTCTAAGTTTGATCTTTCTCCGTTCAGAAAACAACACGAGCTGGTGGCCGGCAAAGAAGAAGCAATACCAAAAAATCCGTGCCCTTGTTGCGATGAGGATTTCATGTATAAAGGTCAACGTGATCAACATCTCAAGACATGTCGAAGGGATCTGAATCGTGTGCGGTCAGTGTTTTGCTTTATTCGATTTCCCATTAGTTTTTGGTAAATTCCATTTTGTGTTAGTTTTATATTGTATGTTATATGTAAGTGAATAGTTGTGAGTAAGATTGATGAAATTCAGTTTGATAATGGCTCCAAAAGCACCACATGATGTAAGTGCTATCAATCAGTGGCTATGGGAAAAGCCACCCGTTGACCCAGCCATTCTTCAGCAGCAACAAGTTGCTCAGAGACAACAAGCTGAGGTATGCAGATGTTGATTTGTTATTATGATTCAACGAATGAATCTTATTCACTGATTCAGAAACAGCAACGGGCGCAATTGGCACAGCAACAACAACAGCAGCAACAGCGTCGCAGTCAAACGGTTAATAATAATCCAGCTCTATTGGCTGCTCAACAACAACAAGCTGTTTATCTTCTGCAGCAGGTTTTAGTGTTGATTTATCGTTATTCATTTATTGTTATTATTATTTTCATTAACCTTTATCATTTCAGCAAAGGTTGAGAGCAGCACAAGCGCAGGCAGCAGCTATCACACAACAACAAGTCAAAATGAGCAATATTATGAACAACCCAAGTTTACTAGCTGGTGAATATTTTGTTTTGCTGTACTTCCTTCAGATGGGATTGTTCTCTGCATTAATCATTTTTGTTTGCTCGTTTCAGCTGTTCAGCAGCAATTGCAACGTGCTGCTGCGGCTGGTATACGTACGCCAGGAATCACTCCACTTTTCGGTGTGCGTTTACCAACGAACAGTGTTCGTAGTTCACTGTTACCGTCCGGTTCAACATTGGGCAATCGTCTGAAAACACCCTCACAAGTTTGTCATTTCAAATGAACATTCGTTGTGATATTTGTGTCATCCAATTATTTTAAGTAATCTCCTAGTGACTGTATAAGCTGGTTGTACTACTGTTGATTCTAGGACAAATACCCTAGAAATTGCCTAATCAGTTGTTGAGGGGAAAATGAAGGAATTCATTATCATTTAACTTTTTGTTTGGAAACATTTTGAGAATGATTTTGGGTTTATATTTGGAACAGTTATTTTCTATAGTGTCATAGGCATAAGTTATACTCGTTTAACGTGCTATGGACAGACAGAATAGATTTGTGAATGCAAAAGAGACGCATTCTCAGGTGCCATCACAACGTAACATTGCAACAAACAGTGCGGTAGCATCATCAAGTCACAACAGTGGTAATATGTGCGAGATTTGCGATCAGAACGTTCAGGATAAGGATCGTTATCTAACACATCTGCAGCTATTCCATAAGCAGATGCGTGGTAAATCATCAGTTGATATGCAACAGGTTCATTCATCCTTCATTCACTGATTGTTCACTTTTGTTGGAAAAAATATTTTAGAAATGTTCGAGTATTATTGAATGCATTCCGTTGACTTCATTCGTAAATAAATGGTTACTGTGTTAATAGCATAGGAGGCATGCTGATGAATCAAGTAGTGCGAAATTTTATGATTTTATGAAACGAAATTTGAAACAGTTTCTTTCGTCGTACACTGCAAAATATTCAACGTTTTTGGGAAGAGCGAGAAGTGCTATCAGGAGATTCGTTGATAGAAATGTAAATACATATATTCATACGATTAAGGGTGCACCTTTGGCATGCAGTCGTTGTCGAGATAGATTTTGGACGTATGAAGGATTGGAACGACATCTTGTTATGGCTCATGGATTGGTCACTTCTGATTTGTTGACGAAAGCGCAGAAGAAAGAGGACGGTGGACGATGTAAACTTTGTGGAAAGGTAAACCTCCTCTGCTAAGGGATATAAATTGATATATTATTTGTCGCACCTATAAGTACATAATTAACTGAAAGGTTATCGCATGCGTATACGAATATTTCTCGTTTTTTTTTTTGATTCTATACTGAGGGAATATAAAGTGTGCAAGTGTTCTTATCTAGCTGTTTATGAATGTATATTTCAGCAATATGCGTTCAATATGCTGCAACACTTGGTAACAGATCATCAGGTGAAGTTGTGTTCTGCAGAAATTATGTACAGTTGTGATGTGTGTGCGTTCAAATGTAGCAGTTATAATAAGCTTGAGGTACATCTGAACACTGTTCATCCAAAGAATCCCAATCAGTCCACCTCCATCTCTGGTAATGTCGCCGTTTCATCTGCAGGTATTCAGTTTTTGTTTTTTCCTTTCAATACTCATCTTCTTTACGATTTACTGAGTAACCATTTCGAACCGAAACCTTATTGGTTCTTTGGATTGTATCAAATTGATCATCTTTATAAATAATTCCAACAGATTCGTTCTCATTCCATATGACAAATCTAAATTCCTCGCATCTTGATATGTATTATATTGTCTTGATAATTTTTGCTTTAAAACAACATCTACTGCCATTTTAATCTCAAATATATTTGTATATATGCTTCTTGTTACTTACGAAGCTTTTATGTAATTGCTTCCACCTGCAAACTCTTTTTAAATTCAAAATTTGAATTGTTGTTATATGTATTTAGAGTGGTCCTTATTTTCGACGTTTGGAATTTTCTTGTTCTTAGCTTTGAAAAAGTTGTCTCTTAGACTAAATCCACCGTGAAAGACTAATTGATTAGTTTGAAATGTTGATGGATCCATTTATTTGTGCAAAAGTTTCAATTTTAAGAATTTCATTGATTCCACTTCACTTTTCTGTTGATAACAGCCTTTACGAAACCTTATTGAAGGAAATCAGATTGAAGGTTAACTTGATTCACTTTCTGCATCTGATAAAGCAGAGTGCAATGTGTAGATAGAGTAGTCGTAACACTAAGAAATTTCCATCAGAGAAGCAAGTTTGGAGAGGTTAGCCAAGAGAAGTACAAAAATTCGAAATTCGGACAACTATTTCTGACGTCCTTTAAAAAATTGGTTTTGACGAAGTTTTGCGCAGGTTGTTTTCGACTGATGAAGCACGAATTTTTTTTTTTGAGAGTGTAACGAAGTAAATCATAATAATCGAAAATAAGGACTACCGAAATGCGTATGTAAAATATCGAAATACAATTAGAAACTCGTTAGCAGGTGCTCGAGAGAATGATAGCGATGATGAAGTAATTGTGCTGAGTGATGAATCAAACAATAATCGTTTGAATGCAAGCAGTAGTTGTGGTTCATTTTCAATCTCGACCAGTCTAAGAAATATTCTGCCCGTTCCAAACTTAATGTCAACATCAACAGTAACCAAAACGAATGTGAATACGAATCGAAAAGATTCACGAACACAATCAGTAAAACGATATCGTCAACTGTTATTACCACTTAAAGCAACCACTAACAATTCGCAACTGATTAAACCGAATGCATTACAACATCGATACAATTGTACAAAATGTAGTGTTTCGTTCGAAACAATTGTGGATGTGATAGAACACTGGCAACAATCCCATTTAACACCTATGCGAGTTGTTCTGTGCAAAATTGACCTCTGTCAAGTACATTTAACTGAGGTTAGTAGGATTGCTGTTTAACGACTCTCCACATGTCCGCATTGCACCTTCACACAAATCATCTCTTTTCTTGTTGTTGTGTTCATAGTGTCCTGCTGTTTTTGGGAAGTGAAAAGAAATAACTGTGAGAAGAAGCGAGATGAGTGTGTTGGGTATAATGTTGACGAATGGTAAGCCGGTACGGCAACCGACATTAGAACAGCGTGCGCCTAGGAAGGTGTAGTTGGGATGGATCTGTTTTGAGAATAGAATAGATAAAAGATTGTTCATGATCGACTTGTTCATTTTGTGCGAACCAACTGCGTTGCCAATGTCTATTAGCTTTTGCAGTTGGTTGTGTACAAGTACTGATGGGCATATGATATTAATATTTATTTCAATAAATAATTATATTTGTATTGTCGAATAATAATTTGATATAATAGTATCTCTTGATTTTTTCTATTAATTCAAATGAACCTTTATTGCTCAGCTGTATTTTTGTCGGTTGCCTCTATCGGATTTTTCAATTCAGTTTCATTTTCTCTTTTTCATGACTGATCAATCAGATAGCGGCTAATGAACGGCGCAAATTCAGCTGCGCAATTTGTGGTTGTTTGATTGAATTTCCGTTTAAAATCAAAATTTGTTTATTATTATTCATTCGTGTTTCGAGCAAGAATATTCGTGCAGTCAACGATACATACCAGCTTTTCGTTTCCTATTTTAGTGCCTGCTAAAAAGCCGAGCTTTTTGAAGTAGGAGTGCAGTATTTCGCTAAGAAATTCATCTCATTAGTTGTTATTCTATTATTTTGTTTATTCATTAAACGATGAAATATAAATGGTCATTTTCAGTTTCAAGAAAGGCATAAACTTAACGTGAATCTTCAAATGCCAGAACGTCTTGACGCGGACAAAGAAGCCGATATGATTACACTGGATGATGATTAGTGAAATGAATATATTAATCTTTTCTATTGTGCTAATAATATTTCCTCAGCATTATACCCACTACCCTACGACCCCTGTTTGAAGTATTTCACGTACCAGTTTGTACGTGTCATGTTCAAATATCATTTCATTTCTTAATGATCCAATTTTGAAGTGTCTTCGAGTTTTTTGTTTTCGGAATTTATAGCATAACAGCATGTTAAAATGTTTCTTCATTGGTGTGCCAGTGTTAATATTGTTCCCTCTCTGCTCATATCTATTGCACGCCGTATAATGGCATTCATCAATAAATGAAAGAGGCGAATGTTCGGTCGATGGATTCTGATTGAGATCGAATGCATTTCTCATTCGATCATCATCAAAATGAGTCATCTAATCAATCAGTTGTTGTTTTTTTAGGAAATTCTGTTTTCAGGAGACTCAAAAATTTAATATTATATTAAGATAATCATTCTGTTCATTTATCTATCTGTCTGTTTCTTATCATATCTTATCTTTTTAATTCCTATTTCGGTGTATTCGTCGGTGGTTTTTGTTCATTAATTTTTTTCCCCGTTTCATCGCGCAACTCATCCACAATGATTTAATCTCATTTTTGATGATGTGCTTGAAATGAACCAACAACCACTCTTTTTTTAAAAATTTTTATGCGTTTTTGTATTTATTCGCGCGTGCTTGCTCCATTTGGCTACTATGGCAGCGGTAAATTTTATCGTTGTCATTATGAGAATATTTTGTTTAATGTTCAGAAGTTTGAGGATGGAGGAGGGAGGGGGGGGGGAGGGGGAATGTTGTGTTTTGAAGCAAAAATGAGTTAGATTGGAATTGATCGAATATGATTAGATAGCGGGTGCGGTGGTTTACTGAGGAATTTAGTGATGATCGAATGATGCCAGCCGGAGCGGTCTCGTCTAGATGGATTGATTTTTTTTGGCATTGGCGGGTATGTGATTGTCGTTCAACGGCGTCGTTTTGTGTTTATATTTTTGATGTGTTTTGAGTGACGTTTCTTGAGATAATTCATAGTAAGATGTAATGTCACATTTGTACTCTATTGCTAGAATCGCTCTGGGACAGTTGCGTTCGTTTTGAATGGTCACTACTGAGTACACTTTTATCCATTAGCAGTTTCAGTTGTTTCATCGATCTTCCCTCATCATTTTGTTTTGTTCTTTTCTATTTATTTATTTTTCATGTAGATATGTGAATGTTAAAGAAGGCCTTTGCGGTCATGTGGCATTTACGGACAAAATTTCATCACGTATGCTAATAAAAGAAACTGTTGAATCGTATTCATTTCAGTAGATATTGAATGCGAATAAAGCGCATTTGTTCTCGTATTCATTTTTATTCTCATACAGTGAATTGGAAACGTTGCATAAATGAGTGTTGCTTGAAGAGTATTCAAGTGACATAAGCTGCATTTACCGGTATACGTTTACAGATGTCGTGTGACATGGTGGTATACGAATTATCGACTTTTGTGTGCAATAATACCACGATTGGGCTTACTTATATAAGGATGTGTTTCAATATAGAGCCTGACTTGAATTTTACTTTGTATACAAACTGGTGGTATCGTATTGGCGCATTATATTGTTATTGTTTCTGTTATTATTGTTGTATTGTCACAAAATTGCTCTCAGCTGTCCTTGTCTCACCATTTCTCGGTCACATTACAGTTGCTTATCAAACAGCTTCAATTTCTGTCGAGTTGTTACAGTTTTGTTATTTTTTGTTTTGAACCCATCAAATAAATTCAATCACCAACTGAAATCTTTGCTGCTTAAACAAATTTCAGTGACGATTACTATACTGTTATTCAACTTGTTTGCTCGGAACATTCTAATCTACCCCTGTCACTGTCCGCCCTTCTTCTAAGCCCCATACGACGAATATCTCTACAGTAGTCATTCTAGCACTGTCCAGCTAGAACAGCACGAGATTGTTAAAAAAGTAAAGAAGCCGGAACAGTATTATATAGGCCAGTACATTGAAAGAGTGGTTTATTTTGCCTAACGATAAGGTGTTTGACAATTCAATGAGCGGCAGGCTGGAAATAGCTTGAGAAATTCGAATAGCTGGGATGACTTAGAAAAGAATGGTAAATAGACTTGGACATTACGGGATACGAAGTTTCATGAAAATTGCTAAACGAATTGATTACTACTCGTTAAGAGAGCCAGATACAGAGATCTCTTACAATGGTTCTTATTTCAAAGCGATTCAGGTACATAGACTTTTTTGTAGCCCTCACTATTGCTGATTCACTTCGGAGACTGTACGACACGAAGCACGATTCCACACAAACACAAATCTACTGCTAGTTGGCATGAATCGTCCGACTTTGCCGTACTCGTTAAACTACAGTTAGACTTGGTCACGTTTACTCATTTATATATGTCATGTGATAAAACGATCCCACATGTACACCCTCTGGCTTTAGAAATATATCGTTGAATGGAGCCATACTGCATGCCTTAACTGCTTCACTGCATCTTCCAAACTTAGTCACGGCGGATCCGTTGTTTCCGTTCACGGATTGTCGATCAAGAGATACAAAACATCCCTGTTGGTCTCAACGCTTACTTTCAATGCTCTTCGAGGCACTCTCAGTGGCATTATTACTCTTAATCAATAACAATCATTTGATCAATAATAACTGATAATTGGATAATAGATACAAGCCGGATAATAGCCTGGCTCAGGCTCACAACATTAATGATATTGGTACACCACTCGGTTTCAAGCGAAACTTTCCNGGAAAGTTTCGCTTGAAACCGAGTGGTGTACCAATATCATTAATCATTTGAGCATTATTTCCAATAACAATCATGCTTCATTATCCCTCAGAAACACAAATTAGGAACCTCTCCTTCGCCTCAACTGAATGAACGTCACCCAAATATGCAGTTTACTTTGACCTATGCAATCTTTGATCTTGTACAGAGTTTTTTCCTATCACCGAAACTGATGTGCCCTACACAATGTGATCATCGGCTGCAGTCTGAATACCCCTGATCTATACTGTGGATTATGCTTGCAATGTATTTGCAGGATGCTCAACAATAATAATTTATTGTTTAAAAATATCAAACATCGATCTCTAGAAACGTAATTGTTCGATACAAGAAACGAATGTCTTCCTAATTATAAAATAAATCAAGATGAGATTGCCTGTGCACTACAGTTCCGCTGAGGTATTTGAAAGAAATCCAGAAAAAACGATACGCACATAAATGGACAAACAATTACAGGCAGAACGTGATCGTTGAAAAATAAAAATTTATTCGGCGCAAGAACTGAATCTATGTATGTAACTCAATTTATATAATATAAACACATCATCTGAAAGGACTGCTTCTGAGTGATCGAGAGCCACCAGTTTAGTCATACCTTTATGGCATCACGATTGTTCACGTCGAGAGCTTAATACCTGCAACAGAAAACAGAGTAAAGCATTATCATGTGCACATTCTGGGTTACTACAAAAAAATCATCTGGACATATTTAAATTATGACGCTCTGCAAGGATCGGGTTGCCATAGTGGCCTTATAACATAATTTTAGCCGAGAATCAAAATCTCAGTTGAAACGGACATAAAAAGTGGTGATGACTGCGAAGTTGAACAATGAAAACGATCGAATAAACCTCATTTTGGATTGATTTCGAATCGAACTGGTCAATTCGTTTTGGTTTAAACCTATCGAAATTGAACAACACATAAATCGGATATGAAAAGGCAGCTGTTGCATAGAAACATCGTAGCAATATGAGACGCTAAATAAAAAAAATTACCAAATTTGTGCTGGCACAATAAAGAAAATGATAACGATATTGACAATAATAATAATGTGAATAACAATGATAGAACGTTTAAAAAACAAAAATATTACCCTGTAAAACAATCATTTCCGATCTTTTCATCATGTGTAGAAAGAAGAAAAACTGTCACCTATTCTTCAAAATCACTACAAAACAGAGAAGAATCGATGAATAACTAAACCTTCGGTCTCTCCAAATAATACCACTTCATCATAGAACAACGTTAAGAAGATTCTCCGATGTTTACTTCCGTTTTTATCCAATATTCTCTCACCGAACCAATATATTTAAAAAAACATATTAATATATCTAAAAATAATCGGTTATCGTTCACAACGCATGCATTAACATTAACTACCAGCGAACAAAATCAACTGCATGCACGAACATCGACTACACATGGCACCGTAATCGGCACCAGTTAACGAGCAATGTTCACATAGAAATTGATCACAAGTTATATTCAGTCATTACGTATCTTCATACAACTATAGAGTTCTTTTCCGATATGAGTTCGTTCGAATCATCACAAGCGCAGTTAGCACAATCGTGATTGTTTTATTTCGCACTGAATGCGAACCGTACGAACGCACGGGCAGCACTACCAACAGCATCATACAACCCAATGGAACAAATTAAATTAATGTGTGGGACAGAAGGAATTGATCTAGTTAGTACAGTTTAGTTGAGTTACGTTCATGCTTTGGCTGCTAGGACTTGCGCTGTGGCTCATGTTTGGGATTAGGCTCACAATCAGACTGATAATGGGTTATTAGAATTGTAATAATTTATTCCAGACGTAGAATATTTTGAGTTCCAATGAAGCACATCAATGAAGTTGACAAGGGTTAAATTCACTGGCGAGTAATTTTAAAAGTTTTCCGCAGTTTTGCAGTCACAACTAACTATGTAAGGAAGTACGATAATTGTTGACGATCTATAATATGCACTTGAAACAATCGCTGCACGAGTTTCAGTCTTACCCACTTAAACTTAAGCCCAAACAGAAGCCTGAGAGTGAACGTAGCGGTTGAATCTGACATTCAAGTGGCATCGAGTGCATTTCGCTGGTTGCCAATGGTAACTTAGTACTGTGTACATCGAAGGAGATGTGTAATCTGGAGTAGATATATAGGTGCTGCATAACTGAGGTGGCAGAGGGAGGAGAAGGAAGTGTATTTCAAAACTGACTTCTTCGACCGTGTTGATTTCTTAAATTACACAACTGAACTGAGAGTGCGCAACTAATCGAATTCCCCAATGACACTGTCCCAAAAAAACCTGAGTTCGAAGTGTGTAGGGATGGGGGTAATGAGCAAACGCGGTACTTTCAGGTGCTTCATTTTAATTAACTAGTTCATTTAATTATTTAATGAATCGATAAAAGTCATTCATTTAATTGATTAACGAAATCGAATGAATTGATAAAAGTCTCTAAGTCAACGATGATTCAAAATTCGCCTAACAGATGATTAAAAAATCAAATCATAAATGAATGACGAATTTGCATTACATATTTTCTCCTTCAACTACCTATTTAAGTAGCGTACACATCAATGGGCATTTAAACCAAAATCAAGCAAGTTTCATGGAGAATTTCATGAAAAGTCATAGAGATGACAAGAGAAACAAATAAATGGGCGTCCCAAATTCTGAATTGATTAAGATCATAAAGATTCAGCCCTTCAAAGATGAAGAATGTATTATTTCGAACTGGTTTTTAACGAAGCAGTTATGAATAGTTGTTGATGAGTATCAATTAGAAGTTCTGTTCATTTTTAAAGGCGCTTTCATTCGTTTGTTCAGCTTCAATACATCGATTCCGCAAATCTGATTAACGGATTTCCTAGCTGGTTTTGTTTTTAACCATGTTTTCATGACTTTGAAGCTTTCTTCATCAGCAACTTCATGAAAACCTCAAAGTTTTACGTGAAACTAACAATAATTTATAATCGCTTGTTTCTTGCTGTTGTGACATAAATGATGAAACTTGATGCAATTTCTTGAGTTGGTTTACTTTTAAGTATCCTCCTGGTCATAATTAATATTAAATCAGCCAGAATATTTGATGGTTAAGACTTTAGAACAACCAGCAACCATGCAATATTTAAAACCCATCAGCGTTTCAGCGTTTAACGCTATCTTGTTTATTTATTCACTTGTTTATTCGATTAACAATTGTAATTCATTACGACTTCATGCCTTTCAGTCATTGCAATTATTACACTCTTCCTCGCTTGACATCTTTCCGCGCAGCTAACGATATGAGCGCTGGGAATCAACTATTTTCATGGAATTCTAATTTCGATTATTGATTTAGTAAGCGTAAGGGTTTTTGGCTACTCCCATATCGATGAAAATGAGCCCGAAAACACATTCCCATTGATCGATTGAATATGCGTTCAGTGATCGCTCAAAATGAATGTTTGAAACAACTAACAGTAACAAGCCGGTGATCATTCGAGACAATAATAAGAAACTTTTTTAAAGACAATATTTTAATTAATGTAAGCGAATAGATTCGTAGCGATCGGCGTACTGAACGTTCCACAACCAAGTAATAAAATACCCTTTGCTGTAAATACTTTGCATAATTAAGCGTAGCCGAATACCAATCCAGTGACAACGATAAACTTCTTGCTGATCGTCCAGAGCGATTGGAACCAACCGCTGAGGTCCGAATAACAAGTCCCAACCCTTTAAGTCCTTAACAGTATTGCACATCAAGTAATCTATTTAAATCACCAGCATGCATCTCGTAAAAGAGATGAACGTATGCATTTATTAGCTCCAGTTGAAGTCGTTTCTTGAAAAAGTTTCACATTGTAAATTTTACAACTACAGTTTGTTCACAACAGGTTATTTTCGAGCTCTTTATATAAAATTCTCACTGATATCATATTACGTAAGTTTTTTTATGAAACCTTCACAGCGTGGGACTTTTTGAAATTTGAACAGCTTTCATGCTTCTTTTCAAGACGGCTGTGAAGATTTTTCACTATTAGTATTTCTCATAAGACAATTTATTGTTATGCAAAATGTTATTTCGTTGACAACTTGCGCAATCTTGAGCAATGTGGTCAGGCGATTTATCATATGGTCTCTTCCGTTTTTTTTTTGCTACTGCCGTGCAGTGGTGTTGCTGAACTTCATCATGCTCTCAGTCGTCGTTGTTGTTTTGTGCAGAACGTGGTCATTCACTTTCGATTTCATTGCATTCAACTTTTTAGTGTTAGTTTGTTCGTGAATCTCGAAGCAACCCTTCTCTCCAGCCATGCTCGGAATGATGAATGCACCAAGTGATAACGTTGACTTTTATTGTCAACGTAAAGGCGAAGAACCACTGTTCGCGAAAAGCAGCGACAAACCACACGTAACATATATGAAAGGTAATAATGCAATTCAGTCTCAATCAAAATAAATGAATTTGGGTCGTTGAAGAGCAAAAACTGAACATTTTAGTGCACGAATAGTTGAATGTTTTTGATTTTCTTTTATCTATGAAATATTCCATCAGTCCTCTAATTAAGTCTATCTAGTTTTTAATCCTTTTTCATAAAACATTCACCCCACAAAATTAAAAATGTGCAAAAAAAGATCAATCAAAGAATGCCTGTAATTTTTCAACACTCTGATTGAGCGCGTGCTCAGCTATCTTAGCATTGAGCATAAGTGTTGTCTTTGATATATTCGCTAGCATTCGAATTTCTTTCGTAGATAGCTGTATAGTTTTTGCATTCGAACTAATACAATTGAGAAGAGATTCTCATTGAATATCAAAAACTGATTCAATATGTTTGAATCAGTATAATGATTTTGGATGGGTTCAACGTGTGGAATAAATGATATATGACTAGGTATCACAAAAACTTATGTTCAAATATTATTAGCAATCACTGATGAAAATTCCATTAATTATGCTCATTTGTCACATTATTTGTTGAAAAGTCGTATGATTTAGACTCTGCATTGGTTCTGACACTACCATGGAATAGATGTAACAATCTGTGTCGTATGACACGTTCCTGTTTCATTTAATTACCCATCAATTCTTCATTATGGTTGTTTATTGTGTGACTTTTTTGTTAAATGAAGATTATGACTAGTCTGCGTTCAGATGGACGAAAAATATTGAATGGTCAAGTCGAAACAACGCAAGATCCTCAAATCATGTGGAACGATCTGTTAACAAAATCAGCTGCTTGCAAAATTCAGTCGAAACATATCAATGAGAACAATTTAAACAATATTGAAAGAGAAGGTGAATGGATGTTAATTAGTTATATTGAGAATAGTTTCACAAACAACACTGATTTGTTCTATTTCGATTCATTTCGTTAAGGAATAGGAAATTCCGTAGCTGAAAACTTTTAACCAATATTTCAGTTAAGAAATTTGTAGCAGAATGAGTGATTATTACTTTGTTCGATTCGCTAATTTAATTTTTACTTTGAAAACTGGTCGTATACACTTTACAAGTAGTACAAACTCATCAATTCTTGTTGTCATCACAATTTTATTTGTTCATTTTCTTATTTGGGCATAAGACTGAGAATGAAGTCTATAAAATCAAATAATATTTTTACATTGTCATATTCAATTTGATCACTGATATTGCTTACTGCTTATTGCTATTAATGTAAACATTTTGAATGCATCAAGTATTATAACAGTTTTAATGTGGCACTAATTTGTGACAAATAGTAATTTTGTAAGATCAAAATGCAGAATGTAACGACGATGCAATCAATTACTGCGGCCAACAAATAACTAAACCTGAAGAATCAAATACGGAACATCTGGCTGAGGATGGTACCACTCAGTACGACGATTCCACACGAACAGAATCTGATAGATCAGAACGCAAGGATGGTCGAGTTTGATTGGGTATTCAAAATGTTTCTATATATTCATGCATGTAGTAAAACAATTCATTTATATTACTACATGGTATGTAGTAAAACAATTCATTTATACATGCTTGTACAGAACAACACCTCGTCGATGTGCTAACATATGCAATTCGAAAGAATACCGTGGACGAAATATCATGATTGTTACGAGCGGAGTTTGACTGAAAAAATCTTCACCATTTCAAAACGAAAACACTCTTGAGCATGCTTTAGATTAATTCGAAAGCATTTTGCAGTCGATGAAATACGCTCAATATTGTCCTATAAATTTATACCAGTGCTTTCATTATTCTGATCAAATTTTCATTGATAAAATTTTCATCTACCGTATCAAACATCCCATATCGTTGCTTGTTCAGTGAGAATTTTCCCTTTATTTTACGAATTTGTCGCATAAATTCATTTGTATATTTCACTAACATAGCGATATGGACAGCGAAATTCGATAAAATAAACAGTATATTATCATACTCACTCAAAAAAGGAATCAATTTTGTGCATCATTTCTGTGAAACTTAACGATAATATTTCGGAAATAAAGATAACGCTACATTTTGAAATACTGAAATGGAAAAGTAAAGATCCATTATTAAGGAAAAACAAACTCCTATTTGCTTTGAATCACTTTTTACGTCATTATTTCGACTCACTTCCAAATCTAATTCGTTGTTCAAATGGAATTTGAAAACCCGATATCAGGTTGTCTTGAGATGCTAATCGAAGAGCAAGATTGAGAAGATTTGCTGCACACTTCATCGACATCTTCTTTCAATTTTTGCTTATATGAATACACATATACATACAATCAGGGAACACGATTAAAAACGACATCAAAGAGCAATCGTTGTTTTGAAGAAAGTAACCACGAAAAAAAGAAACAACAAAATTCATACATAATTTTATATCAACGTAATATAACAACTCGATGAACAAGTGAATTTATGCTGAATGAACGCAGAGTTTAACTCGTTAATCCCGAAATATTGGTCTTACCGTCTTCAACGCGTTAAGCATCCAATAACCTACTCAAAATCAATTATCTCATTAGATAATGTCGAATCGAGAATGTTTGTAAAACCTGATTTCATAATTTCAACTTTCAAACTATTTTAAAATTTCAGGCAAATTCAATCTTACGAGCAAAGGGTTAGAGATAATGTGTACTCGAAAAGAATATTTGTCAAGCATCAGTATACGAGTCGTTTTCAAAATATCTAGATCAATGTTCGAATTTGAAATCATTGTATCTTTAGTATTCAGTTAAATGAAACGATACAATTGCGAATGCGCATATTAATAATCCAAACGAAACGGAATACAGATGAAATAGTGACGCTTGATCAACACAAAGTGATCGAAGGCGAGTGCAAAACTCTTTTCGGATATTCTCAAGAACCCATCAGTTGACAACGATGGATATAGCTATATTTTGATTGCGTTCATAATTTATCTATTATACAATCGACTGATCCAGAGGTTATGTATCTTTGCGTTGAAAACTATTTGTTCCGTTACAGCAAACGGACTCAGCGTCATGTTGTAATACGACGTCCATTAAAAGAAATCTTCTGCTGCATTGGCGAATTAGTCGCGGTAACTTTGATCGTTGTAACGAAGCCTTCATGATCCTTTGGCAGTTGTTGATGTTCTGAATTAAGTATTAATTCATCTTTCACTGATACGGATCGCGTCAAGAGTTTCGTGGAGATTCTCTTCCAGAATGATGGTGGCTTTGTGTTACCTTAAAATAAAACAATCAAGGTTCATGTATATTCAGTGTAGATTTCCAGTACATTTAACTAAGTTATTACTATATTTCATTGTTTCATTAGTTTGGACATTCAAAAGAATTAATTCAATCAAATTGGCAATTCAACAAATTACTGTTGTAAGTCAATCGAAAATATGTTTATATATCAATAGCTCATAACCATTGTTGACATATTCTTTCATTTCTGGTACACCTTACAATGATCCACCCCCAATAATTTCCATTTTATTAATGTTTTACATTTTGATTGTTCGAAAGTTATCATAACTTAAATGAAAGTCGGTGAGGAGATAAGAGAACAGATAATATTATAAGTATAAAATGAACGCAAGTGTACTTTTACAAGCTCCTCGTATCCTATAAGCAATTACTCGAATAATGAGTTCGGCCCATAAATCTTCAGGATCTTCTTGAACAATAGGATGACCGTCAATCAGAAGACGACCGTCGGATGCGTAACTTAACGTTTCTTTTGCTCTTTCAAGGTATCGATGCCTGAATCTCGACGTTTTTAAGCGAGGATACAAGATTCATGCTTTAGAATAAAGAAATTTTTTTGTGATAGTACATCTGAGAGAGTTATACAAAGATGACTAGAAGTTACGCACTTTTTAGGGCACTTTACGCACTTAATTTATCTCAACAGAAGCAGACCTGAACTGTGAGAAGAACCTTCAACGTGGAGGGTGAAATTAAATTATTCATGATTTTTCAAACTCTGTTTATTATTCTTTTTGCATTAGTCACAAACAACCATCAAACTCCGACATATATACGAACTGAATTCGATACTTTGAAATCGTTAAAGCTGAACTGCTAACATACTTTTTGAAGAGCGAAGAAGGACGCATTGGTGAAAAAAAGTCTGCTGGGGTTTCGCCCCCTGCGTTCATCATTCCAAGCATTTTGAAGATTTTTTACCTGAAAACAGAGTGCAATCTTCAGCAGTTGTTTTATTTGAACATAATTCTACTGGAACCGAACAGGTCACAAATCTAATCTTTAGATTCCAATATTTTTGTTAGAGGGCAGATTACAACGAAAGATGGACAGTAGAACAGTTTAATAAAATGCTGTCGTCAAGGAATGAATGATTTACAATATTGAATACATGAAAGTTTTGAAGCGCAGATTTCCTGAGTCAAAAAACTTATTTCGACAGTTTCGTGGAATTTGTGAGGCCGAGAAAGACTGACCTGATTGAATGTGTGTGTTCAAAACGCAATTCTGGATTACATTAATAGACTACTCAATCGGATTTCTTTACTTGCTCTTTAAGAGTTTAATGAGTGCTAAGCTGTCTACTTTTCAAGTGAAATCTATCAAAATTTCTAGGACAAGAACATCGATATGCGCAATTCAACGATCTATTAGAGTGGGAAACATGATTCTGAAATTTTACAATACTTCTTGCTTTGCAGAATGAATTCAAAGAGAATTTCTTTTCACAACGATCAACTGAATTTTTATTCATTTATTAATTGCACTCTACTTCGATTCTTCAGTTATCATTATTGACTAGGTAATTTCTACCATATCTTATTAGTTCTAGCGACGAACACTTCACACAACGATGCCTTGAGCATCGATAACCTTATAGAATCAAAATCATACGGTCTATATATTCAGCTGAAATCAATTGAACGAGTCGGTAGATGCAATCATTTTGGAGAGTTCAACACTGCAAGAGGTTTACTTCATCAATTTCAATCAGTAGTAATCTAATCTTATACAACACTTGAAACGAAAGTTGTTGAAAGTATCGGTTTAGAAGATTCTTAAAGTAACGAATGTTCATGACGGGTGCCAATTGCTGCCGATTTTAGCAAATCCGTTGACTTATTGGCATCCAATATCATCGATTTGCAACCATTAACTGCTGCAAATCGCAATGAAATTCGCTAATATTTTTCACTGGTATTATCTAGCAACGATAGTATTGCACAAATACTAAAAGTTGTTTAGGCATCTAAAAATATATAAATCAATGAATGAAAGAGTGCAATCAATCGTGAAACAATCAAATAATTAATTACAACAAAGCATTTCGTTGAACGACAAAATAATGTAGACACACAAGAAAAGTTACTTAACTGTGCATTGCTTCAAATAGTAAACTCTGGACAACTATGAACATTCACTAATGTTTGAATGAGCAAACGTTGAGTTTATTTCTGAGACGAGCATGAAGTCGAAGCTTATAGGACAACGTTTAGTCTTAAATGTGACTGTCGTTGGAATGTTTTCGGAGAAGGTAACTTTTGAAAGCTTTATGAAATGTTGGTGAATGGCAAACAAACTGCACTCAAGCATGACTAATAATAGCAAGTTTGTCTCTGAGCTATTAGATTCACTAAAACGAAAAAAAAAACGGTTTTGCCATCTCAACATGTTGTTTTTGAGTGGTTCATTTTATGCAGTTCAGTTCACTTCAGCGAACAATTATCCATAATTGGATGAGTCGAAATTTTAATTGATCTAATTTTGATTCACTTCTAATCATCTTGAATGAGTGCATCACTTGTTTTATTCAAAATACGCATCAACAAATCTGAATCACGAAACCGAAATATGATTTCGTCCGTTTTGATAGTTCGCTAATCGAACTCTGCACACCTAATTTAACCTTGAACTGATCGAAGAACATCTGAGGTGCATGAGGTTAGGCTACAATGCGAACAACCGGAGACGAACCGAAAATAAGAGGGCGTTTTGACAATCTTGATTCTGTCATATTCGGAAAGGGTGAATAAAGATTTTTCATCGGTAATGATAAAAATGCGTGGTGGATAAAAGCGCGATTCGCTCAAGTTTTAGCATGAATAATAATAAATTTCTGTTTGATGCGTTCATAGCAGGGAAATTTTCCAACTGATTGAAAATTACGGATGTCAAAACAGTCTGAATTCTCTTAACGAAATAGCAGATATGCTATTGTACAGAGCAGTATGCAGATACAACCCAGAATCGAACTGAAACGAATCAAATTTTTGTTTGTGTTCCAATGATTTTTGCTGTGGAAATGCATTGCGGCTTTAAAACGACTGTAATGAATGAATTTGTGGCGATAAACGATATCAAAATAATGTTGTTAGTTAACGAAGTATAACTTCGTTTGCGTACGGCTTTTAGAGTTTAAATAATTTTTAGGTGAACAGCACTCGTGGTGACACTCAGAAACACTCAAGATTGCGTCATCAGTCATATCAAAGCTCAGTTGAAATTGTTCGTTGTGCATTAGGTGATGTTTAGCGCGAACGTAATTCGTCAAATTCTTCACTTTTGGTAAACAGAATTTCCTTTCAGTAATTGACTACATTTAAGATGACGTATCGACGAAGTATGTGAATTATTTTTGACCTTTAACAAATATTTCCGCCCACAGGAAGATGAGATCAGAAAGTGATTATTTGGGAAATTAACCAGTACATTTTGTGCAGTACTAAAAGAACGACATAGTCGTTGAATATCTACCTTTCATCAGTGAATCAACATTAATTTGATCGTTCTGAATTTAGAATTTAATTAATTACAACAACAATATTAACAAGAGGAAATCACTTATTTACTTCAAGAAATGGAAATAAGCGATGATAAAGTAAAAAAAAGGACAAGATGACGTACGGTCATTACTATGTTGAAATGAATGATTAAAATAAATCTAAGTTGTGGCAATTCCATCAGAGAAATAGGACGGATATGATATTATCTTCATGAATCGAATTAAAATGAAGCAGCGATAGAATTTCTTCAGAGTGTGATCAAACGATCAACTTCAGCGATACATTTATAGGAAATGCTACGCTCTGCTGGTTATCATTCACTTTTAGAATAATTCTGCTAAATGACATACATAAATTGTCAATGAGTGATGGATTTAACGATTACCACAAAGTTTGCTTTATGAGTAAGCCAAAAAATGTTGTTTCGAGTCCTCATTTCATATAACACTCATAAAATTTTTTGAAAATAGATTTTGCTGAATTAAACACTAGTACAAACATAATAATGATTGCTTAAATAATGCTTATTCATTGCGTTCAGCATTCCAAACATTCAGTGTTCATGCAGAAAGAAGTGTAATTGTCGAGTTGAAACAAGTATTTGCATTGGGTGCTCTATTTAGATGATCATGATTCATTATATTATGCTCTATAGTGCATTGTAATCAGATGGTTTTTTTTGCGAGAATTTCAGTGAACCATCAAATTTCAAACTCTTTTTCTGCATACCAAGTTTCGAGCGATATTTACAACCGAGCAACAAATGATGCGGGATTTCATAATAGAGTATGGCCTACCAATTGGAATTATTATCATCTTTAGTACACCTTTATCCACATCTTTATATTTGAATTTCATGCCTGACAATGCATCATTTAAGTTTTTTTTTGCAAAATTTTGCCGTAAATTTTTTGTATTCTTTGCTGCTTTTTTTTGAGATGACAAGGGCAATGATTCATTTAGTAGTGGCTGAATATAAATGTGCAAATATAATAACTGTGAGGTAAGATCAATTTTTTAAAACAATGATAACGAGAAAGCATGAAATACTCGTTAAGGCCGTAAGATGCGGAAGAAAAGAAAACAACACGTAGTCAGTTCCTTTCTCTTAAACGTCTTATATTATGGTAGAGAAGTGCACGCCAAAACTGATAAACAAGAATGATTCAATCAAGAAATCAGTTCAAAGTGGAATTCAGTTCGTTTCATTAAGATGGTAATGAGGGAAACAATCGATGAATTTAGTACAAATACTTAAAAAAATGAAATTCAATAAAAGAGATGAACAAATTGTTGTGTCGAAAATTTAAAAATGTGAGTAAACGACGCCTGAACGTCACAGCAACCACACTCGATTTGTCACTTTCAATCGACTTCTTAACCACTATCACAACAAGTTTCTGATCATCACTGAATTTACCACTTCATTCAACATCTCAATTACATGTCTAGCATTTCGATCATTCAGCATCACTTTGCATTCATTCATGCAAAAAAATTGTTCATTCTTGAGAGATCCCCTACTATAAGTCACTCAGAGACACACTCCTCGAAAATCACGTCATGTCATTTACACAATATTTCACACTCCTTATTTCGTAACGTAACTGATGAGTATCAGTTTAAATGAGTGATTGACACACTTGACGATGCAGGAATGAGGGTCTCGTTGAAGTGAGAAAAGATAAAAAACAGCAGTTTAATTATTGAGTAATTTTGTGCATATATTGCAGAAGCAAATTTTGAATGCATTTGCATGGGTCTGTTGATGCCTGAGAACAACCGATCGCTTTGCGTCATCGACAAAGACCACCATGATCGTTTTCTCATTTGACCCATCAAGAGCCTATTTGCATTCACGATATTTCGCAAATTTTACAAACTCAGTGAGATGTATGTTATAAAACTTTATCAGGTACATGGAAACAGAAATGAACGGAGCATTTTTTTTTATCACCACAATAATCACCTTTAGAGGCTTCTTGTCCTTTTTTTCGAAAAACATCCTGATTCATAAATTTCTCCCATTAGTATTGTCATCCATCCTCTCACAACAAGCAAGCATTTTGTTCAGATGTGAGATTGCTCCAGCTAGCTCTTTCGAAGTTAACTTCTTATCAATTTCTTTCTCTACATCTTCTACCCCCTTCCTCTGGCGTACTGGATGATCTTAAGGCAATGAGATCTCCATCATAAGGTCTCCATCTGGAAGTTTTTCAGCATCAGACTCAATGAGCTTCTCAATATCCTCTAGAGAACATTCCAAATTCATTTGTTTCACAAGATCCACAATCGGGTCCTCGGTTTAATCAATCTCGTCCTCCTTTTCTTCATTTGAATTATTCACGGGATGCTTCAAACTCTCTTTCCACATCCCATTTATGCATCGTCCGATAGGTAAC